AATAAGTATCTTGGAAATATCCACTTAATTATTTTTTTGAGAAACCCCACTCCCCTCCATTTGTTAATTCAATGCAGCTCATTCATAGTAATATTAAAATAATTCCAGCAAAGAAGGCACACATGTTCTTTGCAATTAAATTGTTCTTTGTTAATAATCAGAGCAAAACATTATGATTCATTTCACAATTAGTTGCTAAGGTTAATGTTCTGTCAAAAATCAATAAAAGTGGTATCACATTCATAATTTTATAATCTCTGTCCTTAATAATCTGACATGTCATTTCAAGTCCACAGATTCTTATTTTTTGCATAGAGAGAGAATGCTTGGCTAAGATCCCAATTTTTTTATTATATTCAAAAGGATAGTAATTTATGTGCAGAGTTTTGGAACTATTTAGCTACTAATCTATAAACAGAAAACTGAAAATATGTTAGTTACTAAGTAATGGAAGAAAGGAGTCTCACACCAGTTGTCAGTTTATAAGAAGTAGGAATCTAAAAGTGTCCTGGTTCTAAGTTTCCAAGCCAGAACACTAATAATATTCCAAGAAAGCCAAGCCTTTTGCCACTCCTATTGCTTAGGACTATCATTGTTATCTAGTCCTATCAATGTGATCTTCATATATACATGTATATGAGAACACTGTAATGATCCTATGAAAAAATAAGGTCTAGTATTCATGTAGAAGTGTAATATATTAGCAGCGTCTCCTTTTTTTGACATAAATACATGGCAGGGTAATTCATTAAATCATGTTCATTCTCACTCTTTCAATAAAATACAATTGCATTCTTTTCAAAGTATGATTATTTCCATATGACCTATTTTGTCTTCTCCACTGGCAAAATCCTATTGAATTTTTTTCAGCTTTTTTTGATGCTCATCAATCCTCTATTTGCAAAATTTTCTATCTTGGGTCTATTTCCTGATTTCTTGTTATCCTCATTTTAATCTATTTAAAAGTGTTAGGCTCAAAGGAGCTAATAAATGGTGGTAAAACTGTACTTTATCATTCCTATATTCATTGGTGTTCTGTACCTCTGTAGAGGGATGGGAAAATATGGAAAATCTCTGTGATGTGATATGACATGACCATCTCAGGGGGAAGAGTAAAAGTTTCTCCATGTAAATATCCCTAAAATTCTTTAACAAAGGGATAATTAATAAGAAATAGAATTCCAGTTCCTCTCAAATACAATACATTGGAGAAAAATTGGTAAAAGATTGATTCCAGTAATGTGGGTAGACTATAAACATTGCTTTGACTTACATGTCATCCTAGTAAAAGGTATTTAACCTCTTTCCTTTGACTTATTGACTTAAAAAACAAATATTTTATACCTCACAAAATCATTGGAAAGATTAAATGAAATATCAGATGTGTTAATCATCATCAAATATTAAAGCCTAAGTAAATCATACTTTCAAAAAATGTAATTTATACATCTAACAGCAAAGTTTGAATCAAATTCAAATCAAATACTCAGTTTTAAATAGACCACTCATTTTTCTTATGATTATTTAAGTTCTATTTCAAAGAATCAATATCAAGTGCACATATTAATAATTGATACTCAGGAAAAATGTTGAACACAAATGGATATTCTGCTTCAATATCATTAATTGTTAGATAACAGTAACCTAAAATCTGGGCCTCCCTGGTGGCACAAGGGGTTAAGTTGCAGCACTGTGAAGTTATCCACAGCCACTGCAACAGGAGTTCAATCCCCGGCCAGGGAGCTACCCACATGGTGCATCAGACCTCGCCTGTCTTGCCCGCTACTCCCCTCAGCAGTGTATTTCAGTCAATCTGCCTGTTCTGTTCCCCACTCTGACTCTGGTGAATCCTCTCATCCTCCCTCTTACCCCACACCTCTGGTCTGTATCCCAGTTCTTGTATGCATAAATTAAATCTTTAAAAAAAAAAAAGTAACCTAAAATCATAAGGCAATGCATTCTTAGCTAAATGAGACACTTATAATGAGAACAATTATATTTGTTTATTTTCTCCCCATCTTCAATTCTTACCCTATTCTAGCATCATGTATAAAGTACCTGACTGTTTCTTAGACATTCCACTTGATTTTCTCCAAAGCTTCCTTGAGCTTTTGTAAAAGCAACAAAATGGCTGAAGTTTTGGATTTCAAATAGTAAATCCAAACAGAACTGGGAAAACATGAAGGTAAAGAATAATTTTTTTTAAAGCATAACTCTATACTGATGAACCATAATGAAAGGAAGGAAATAGAAGAGAATGACAGTACAGGAAGCTCTGTTGCTATGCAAGTTCAAGCAGGGACTGCCCCCCTGTCTGGAGATATTCTAAAACTACTGTCTAACACACCAGCAACTGGCAACATCTGGCAATTTGAAATTTAAATTAGCTAAAGTTAAAATGAAGTCCTCAGTTGCCATATTTCAAATGTCCAAAGGACACATAGTAGCTAGTGCTACTACGATGAACAATAGAGTACAGAATAAATCCATCAGTGAAAGAAGTATCTCAGGCAGGGCTTCTTTTTTTTTTTTTTTTTTTAAGATTTTTTTTTTTCAATAGAGGCATGTTTTTATTTATTTGTTTGTTTGTTTGTTTATACATGCACTGGGTACAGTCAGAAGCGCGGGAGGGTGAGAGATTTCACCAGAGCCAGAGCAGGCAGAAGGACCGAAGTACACTGCTGAGGGGAGCAGCGGGCGGCAGGGGAGGTCTGCGCGCCATGTGGGACCCTCCTCCGGTGGCCTGGGAGCAGCCGGGGATTGAACCGGCGCCGTAGAGGCCGTGGGCAGCTTTGCAACCCAGCGCTCTACCGCTGCGCCACCGGGGAGGCCCCAGGCAGGGCTTCTTTAAGGAGAACTTTTTGACTGATGAACTTCCAAGTCTCATTTCTTATGACCTCAAAAATTCCTATGTGTCAAACACTAAAAAAATGCTTAACGTGACAAAATATGGTCCCTGTACCCTTTTAAAATAAATAAATAAATACTATAGTGTGTAATAAGTAACAGGACTATAAGTATACCTAGATTGCTTTACAGGAATAGGTTCGAAATCAGACTGGTGGAGAACAGCAAAAGGAAAGTTTTCAAGAAGAAGGTCAGATAAACTGTTTGTTGAAGGAGGGATAAGAATTGGTTAGAGAAGAGAAAAAGTGGTATATCTTCAAGGAGAAAATTTCTAATAAAACAAATAATGAAAAAAAAAAAAACCAGCATGGCACAGAATCCATAAGCTTCGGTATGTGAAAAGATAATAATAACTGGAACTGCAAATGAAAAGCCTTGATTCTCCATTTAAACTATAACTTTTGCTTACTTTAATGAGTCCAAGTGTCAGAACAGAAAATTCCTGGAGAGAATTTAAAAAGACAGACCTGCCTAGGCAGGTGCTACCCATTAATTTAACAGGTCATATTATTAAGTTAATTGGGGAATATCATAATTTCTAAGTCACTACCAAATCAGAAACTTACCCATATTTATATTCAATTATAATACATTCCAAAGACTTGAATGATCTGCTCCTTGGATTTATCTGCCAGTTTCCTTTTACGTGCTCTAGTATAATTAAGAACTATATTCACATTGAAATGGAAGGAGTCAGTGTTGAACAATATTTTTTTCCTTATGATTTTAGTGTCAGAACCTCAGTGTATTTGAAAAGTTACGACTTTCTATTTTTTATTGTTTCCTCTGCCTTTTCTCCACTTCACCTTCTCCCAGTATTAAAATGTACAATCCACATCAATAATTACATAGTCAAAATTCCAGTAAAATAGTATTTATATCAGACAAGATAAGCAAGGCATATCAAAATATATATTTAATTTCTTTCACTTGTAAAATTCCTTCAAATAATTTGATGCTCCTCACTACCAACAAAGGAAAAGAAGGGCAAGACATTTTTTCTTTTCTATTTAAAAATTTTTGTTGAAGTAATATTTATTTATAACATTATATAGATCAGGTATATAGCATTAACATTCGACACCTGTATTTTCTATATTATTATCACCATCAAAAGTCTAGTTTCCAGGCCTCCCTAGTGGCCTATCAGCAATATCACTAATAAGGCCAGAGTTCAATCCCCGGCCAAGGAGGGGATCCACATGGCACAGCAGGACTCTCCTATCTCACCTGCTGCTCCCCTCAACACTGTATTTCAGTATATCTGCCTGTTCTGTTCCCTACTCTGTCTCTAGTGAATCCTCTCACCCCCATGCCTCTGACCTACATACCTGTTCTTCTACACACACACACACACAAAAAAAACAAAAACAGAAAAGTCTACTTTCCATCTTCTACATTACAATTCACCTCTTTTATCTAATTCACACACCTACCTTCCTCCTTCCCCTCTGCTATTTTGTTCTTATAGTCTGATAATTGATTATGTTTTATTTTGTTTGTTCTATTTCTTTAAATTGCATATACGAGTAAAATCACATATTATTTGTCTTTATCTGACTGACTTTTCATTTAGTGTAATACCCTCAGGGTCTATTCATGATGTCACCAATGGTAAGAATTCACCTTTTTTTTTTTTTTTTCAATAGCTGAGAAGTATTCCATAATGGATAATACCCCATTCTTTTCCAATCATCTGTGAGTGGGTATTTAGGTTGTTTTGGAGGATATATCTTTTCTAATTATTGTTTTCATACTCTTTAAATAAATACCCAGAAGTGGAATAGCTGGATCATACGGCATTCTCCACTTTTTGAGGAGTCTCCATACTGATTTTCATAGTGACTGCAGATAAAGGATATAAGGAATTATATCCAACTCCTTTCCCTATATCAGTGGAAACATGCATTCTAGAGAGTTGAAGAAGACCCGGATTTCAAGCCCTTAACCTCTCTGCAGATCACACTGACCCTCTTACAATGGCCTTATATTTTTGGAGCTGATTTGCCTTTGCAGATGACATGAAAAAGACATGCTTAAGAGAGATATGGAGAGCATGAACCACAGATTGAAAATGAAGCTCCATCACTCACCCACATGGGATCACTCAGGTCTGAGTCCTGCATGCGGATACAGTCCATGCTAATCTCAATCTTGTTTGTTGCACCATTTTCTGACGGTTCATCCACAAAGTTCAAATCAATAGGTTGAACTGAACATATGGGCCTACCATAAAGGAAAAGCAAGTGTTAGCCATGGAAAATGATTAAAATGCCCTCCCCCCCACACTATCAATTTGGTAACAAAGAACTCTTTCTGTTTCAATCTTGTCAAGACTCAGTGACTGAAGTCAATTCTGTGGTGGAAACCTGGCTCAATCACTTACCAGAAGTGTAATCTCAGGAAGCTCAGATCTAAGTCCTATTTGTAAAATGAATCATGATCCTTGTCCTCATCAAGAATCGATGAGTAGAACACAGGATGAAATGGATGTATCAGAATAGAGTGTATTCGAAAGACTTTTCTTTAGGGTCCTCAGTTTTCTGATACTCTTCCACCTTCCTCTTAATTTACTCACTTATCTAACATGACCTTAATGAAGGAGATAAATAATCCTTTCTCTAGTAACTCACAAATGATCAACAAAGGTAGTGTTTTTTTTTTCCCCCCCTCAGGGGATATTTGCATTGTAATAATAAACAAGACTCCTTAAGCCAAAGGAACAAATCTTAAATAATAGGGAGTCATTGGAGAAGTAATTTCCAGTTGGGCAGGAGAGTTCTTCTGGTCCTTTAAAATTTTACCACCTTGGAGTAACAATAATCCTTTGGTGTTTGAAATCGAATTAATCTCTCAATTTCAAACTCAAAGATACTGTTAAATAGGATTTTTTTTTCCAACAATGTTAACTATTTTTACTGAGTTGAGTCTAGAAAGATTCCCCAGTAAGCAATATTCTGACGATCCAGCTACCTACTTATAATAGTTAAAATAGTTAACTATTCTAAAATAATGGTTAAAATACAACATAAATACAACAAATAAAACTCGTAATAGTTAAAATACAACATTTTTTGCTTAGTTGATACTTACTGTTCCAGAAAATCCCAGATATGCTGGAAAACTTCTGGACTGAGGAATTCGCTTGTCTGTGTGCTCTGGGACATAGTGGATCGGTAATAACTTTCTTTCCAAGAGAAATGAGCTGGGGTTTCTACAAACCTTAAAAGAATAAAAAAAGAAACTAGGATTATATTCCCTGTATCTATAGCACTTACTATTAAAATTATAGCATATTCAATCAAGAAAAAATCAAGTGACTCTTTAAAAATCATACGGGGAATTTTTTAGAAGTTGCAAATTGTTTCTTCAGGAAGTGTCATGGACTCCACTTTATTACCAGATGACATCATTTATCAAAGTTTTTCTTTCCTAATTAATAATGTTAGTCTACTCTTTCACTGTCCAATATCTATGTTCTACAGTTTTCAAAAAGAAAATAAACATTCCCTCATTAGCTCTGCAGCAAGCCTGACCTATTATTAAACTCATTTTATAAATGTCTCAACTGATTACCTGCCCATTTTGCCTCCAGCAGGTAAAAAGTAGAATCAGAAAACAGAAACAAGTTCAGAAAACTTAAATTTTACCTTTGGCATAATCACCTCTCTCATAACTACCATCTTAGCATCATGCCCAGGGACAACAAACTCAACCTTCTGGACCTACGTCTTATTCGTAATCACCAGTTACATACTTTAATGTGTGTGTGGGTGGTTTTTAATTGGAGTGCAGAATTCTCTGCTAGACTAAGGGACAAGCAACCATGTGAATATGTTGCAAATAGATGCTATTTCTGTTTGCTCCATTTTGTTGCTGGGTCAAGTTTGTGTTAAAAAAAATGTTAAACTTGCTCTCTATATCTGCAAAGGAAAATATCAGTCTTCTCAGGTGATGCTGCCACCAAATCTGCATATTATCTGCACAAATCATCTTAGTATGCAATTCATTGTGATTATCAGTAGACTAATTTTGTCCTAGGATGAAATTAGCTAAGCTCTTAATCATTACTGTTAATACTATAAAGTGTTAAATAAATAGTGTACTAGGATAGTCAATCATTTTAAATTTGCAAATGAATGCTCTGGTCTAGTTACATAATAGAAAGTAATTGCATTGGATTTATTGTTGATGATTCCCAAGCCTTACAGAGAAGTATATTAATTTTCTCAAGCCACACATGTACAGAACATTTATTATTTTCCAGGAGGCATAATGGACACTGGAAATAAAAAGTGAATAAAACCATCTCACGCTCTAGAAGATCATGATGTGTAGAGGGTAAAACAGGAAAACAAACCTCTAATAAATGTAGTAAGAACAACACTATAAAATTATAAAGATGAAATATATCATGTTAAAGAAATAGTCTTAATTAGAGAGGAGAAACTGACCTTACCAGATAAAGACTTGTGGTATGAGTAAGCAGTTAATGGAAATAGCATAAATAAAATATTAAAATGGAAAACAGCTTGGTGTATATGAGGATATTACAAACATTATTCTATGGTAGTATTGTGTAGAAATTTTGGGCAGAGAATGGGGGAGCTTGAGAGGGGAGTAGAAACTTCTATGAGATATTAAAAAATAAAGCTTCAAGGGCCTCACTGGTGGCGCAAGGAGTTAAGACACAACCTATGAGGCTGTCCGCAGCTGTTGGTGAATTCTCTCTGGCCTATACCCCAGCTTTTGCATGCATAAATAAATATTTTATTTTTTTAAACATTTATTTATTTATTTTATACAGGAACTGGGGTATAGGCCAGATGCGCAGGAGGGTGAGATGATTCACCAGAGACAGAGGGGGGAATACAACAGGCAGACTGATGAAATACACTGCTGAGGGGAGCAGTGGGCAAGGCAAGAGAGGTCTGCTGTACCAAGTGGGACCCTCGCCGGCTGGCCGGGATTGAACTAGTGCTGCAGAAGCTGCGAACAGCTTCACAGTGCAGTGCTCAACTGCCTGCGCCACCAGGGAAGACCCAATAAATTGAAAAATAATAATAATAATAATAAAGGTTCAATACGTCTAATGATTACTGAAGAATTTTTTTGCAAAGAGACTTGTATTCAAGTTTCAATATTTGACAGAAATTTACATAATTAAATAATTTGGGGAGTACACCTTCATATGTACTCATGCTTCATTCACCCTCCACCAGAGCGCCAGTGTTAATATTTTATCACCTTCCCCATCTCTTCTGGTAACTTGGATAATTTTTCACAGAGTCTAAGAATTATTTTTGTCATGCTTTGCCACTTTTTTCTTTTGGTTATTTATATTCTGCAAAATGAGTGAAACTATCCAGTAACCAGTTTTCACTTTCTGATTTATTTCAATATGGCATAATCACCTCATGAGACATCCATTTTGTCTCCAAAGGCAGTATTTTCCATATAATTAAAATAGCTACATAGTATTTCATTAACTATATATATTCCATAATTTCATGATCCAGTCATCTGTCAACATGAATGCATAGAACTTTTTATATTAGTGTTTTTATATTCTTAGGTAAGTATCTAGGTATCTAGTAATGGCATTGCTGGAACATAGTATTTCCAATTTTTTTTTTTTTTTTTTTTTTAGTAATGGCCACACAGTTTTTCATAGAGAGTGCACCAAATTACGTTTCCATCAACAGTGAATGAGTGTTACTTTTTCTCCACATCTTTGCCAACATTTGCTGTTGTCAGTCTTTTTTCACATAGCCCATTCTCACAAGAGCAAAGTGATATCTCATTGTGGTTTTGATTCATATTCCCTTATAATAAGTGATGCTGAGCATTTTTTTCCATGTGCCTATAAGCCACCTGAATGTCTTCTGTGGAGAAGTTTCTTTAGCTCATTTTTTTTTTTTGAATGGGATATTTGCTTTTGTGTTGTAAATTTGCATGATTTTTTTTTATGTATTTTGAAATTAGCCACTTCTTGATACATGATGTGCAAATATCTTCTCCCAGTCCATAAGTTGCCTTTTTGCTTTTGTGGTATTTACATTATATGAAGGTTTTTTAGTTTTAAATAGTCTCATTTGTTAAATTTTGCTTTTGTTTTCCGACACATAGATAAAAAATTATAAAAATAAACTAAATATACATGCACAAATAAGTAAAAGTAAAACTGAGAAATTGTAATCAGATTAGTTGATTGTGTTAATGTCAATATCCTGGTTGTGCTATTTTCCAGTTTTGTAAGATGTTATTTGCTGCTGAGGAAAAGCCTATGGATTTATTATAACTGTATGTGAATATACAATTATCTGAATATATTATCCTAAAAAGAAAAATGACCCTGGTTATCTACATTTGATTCAGTATACATAATAGGAAAATAGGTTCTACATGATCTTTAATTTAGCATTACATTAAAAGCATAGGTATCTTTGCAAAATACTTCATTTCTAAGAACTTTAGTTTCTTTATCTGAAGGTTAGAGGGGAAAAATAAAAGTTCTAAAAGTGAAAATAAACTTTATTTAGAAAATCTTCAAAAAGGAGTTGATGTTCGAAAAGAAATATAGCTCTCGGGGCCTCCCCGGTGGCACAGTGGTTGAGCACTGGCTTGCAAAGCTGCCCGCAGCCTCTGCTGTGCTGGTTGGATCCCCCGCCACTGGGTGAGGGTCCCACATGGCGCTCAGACCTCTCCTGCCGCTCGCTGCTCCCCATAGCAGTGTATTTCGTCAATCTGTCTGTTCTGCTCCCTGCTCTGACTCGGTGAATTCTCTCAACCTCCCACGCTTCTGACTGTAACCAGTGCTTGTATATAAATAAATAAATAAATATTTTTAAAAAAAAAAAGAAATATAGCTCTCACTATACACAGATGACATGATAGTATACATAGAAAATAAAAAAACTGCTAAAAATCTATTGAAATAATAAATTAATACAGTAAAGTGGCAGTATACAAAATCAATATTTTCTGAAGCATAAACTTGATATAATTAATCATTAATTAGCTTTATTAATTATCCTTTAATTATTTAATATGATTGTTAATTATTAGTATTTAACATTGATAAATTTAGAAACTGTGGAAAAATAATTTACAACATATGCCCATAATTTATGGGCAAAATAATTATTTAGGAGTTTGTTGTCCCTGTCTAGTTAAGAAAATAGGAGAATAATTGTGTGAAATGAGTAAATGGAACAAATACAATTGTTAATGAATGGTTAAGTCAGATATTGTTTATGTTAATAATGAAGGGAGAAGGAAAAGTCAAGGATGATTTCAAATTTCCAATTTTCTCAGACTGAGTGGCTGATGAATCACTAACAATATCAGTAAATATAATTAGATGATCTGACCTGGAGAGAATGGAGACATGATGTGTTCAAATTGTATATCATGAAATACTAAGGCCCCTGATGCCTTCATTTGTTCACTAGATGTAAAGAGATGGTAGAACTCTAGACATTCCTCCTTATGCCATGAAGTTGGTATATATGTGTCAGGATTCTGAACAAATGTTCACTTGAGGAAAAGGTTTTGATAAAGATTAAAAAAAATAATCACTGGTTTGAAAGGGATCTTTAAGGTTTCTCTTTTGATCCACTATCGATTCCCATTCTCTGAATTATACATAAAGCATTATTGAGAGAAAGGAAGGAATGAGATTTACTGGTGCCAAAGGGCAGAAAGAAAGAGGTAAATGCTACCTATTTCTCAAGTCATTGTCTTTGGGTGAATCTCAGTATCAATTTTCTTGTAGAACAATCACACTGTTCAAATAATTTTTTTTAAATAATTTTTTTAATTTTTTTAAATAAATTTTTTAATTTTTTTAAATAATTTTTTTTTCATATCACCCAAGGATATGAAGCCTAAAGTCAATGTTTTTTTCTTTCAACTTGTTTTTCCTGGATTAACTACACTATACACAATATAAAGAGAGAGAGAGAGAAAATGAAAAAAAGAAAAGACAGAGAGAGAGAACCCTGCTCTTTGTATAAGTGACCTGAAAACACCAAGGGGTATCTGCTAAAAGTTTGCATTTTCTCTTGCTTTAACTGTTCTTCTCCTAAAGTCATCACTCAAGTCTACCTTACATTTAGTTTATTTCAATGCTCATAAAAATATCCAAATCTTTAAAATTTCAGAGTTCAGAAATATTTTAGTTTTGTGAATGGGTTTTAGAACTAACACAATTTAGTGAC